GCCTTATTTTTTGCTATTTCCTTCAAAGAAGCTTGAACTTTTCCCTTCATCTCCATTGGCTCTTGTTCATATGTTGTTTCATTAAATTCTTCTCTCTGCCAATTCCTTTCGATCCAGTGACTCAGTATATTCTTTCCATCTTCTTTTAATACTTCAAGAATCATGTAATATTCTGCCTAAAGCATCCTTGATTATAGCAACTTGAGGTTTTAATTTGTTCTTCAATTCCTTGAGCTTAAGAAATGCTGAGTAAGTTTGGCCCTTTTGATTTTCTGGCTCCAGCTCCTTGCACATTTTATTGTAATATTTTACTTTGTCATCCCATGCTGCCCTTTAGAATCTTCTGTTCAGCTCTTTAGTATCTTGAATTCTTCCTTGTGCTTTGGCTTTTCTGCGCTCCAGTGCAATATTAAGAGTTTCTTCTGACATCCATTTTGGTGTTTTCTTCTTCCACTGTCTTTGTAATGAACGTTTGCACTCTTCTTGGATGATACCCTTGGATGATATCTTCCCACAACTCATCTGGTCTTCGCTCATTCGTGTTCAAGGTGTCAAAACTGTTCCTGAGATGGTTCTGAAATTCAGGTGGGATAGACTCAAAGTCATATTTTGGTTCCTGTGGATTCGGTTTAATTTTCCTCAGCTTCAACTTGAACTTGCATATGAGTAGCTGGTGGTCTGTTCCACAGTCAGCTCCTAGCCTAGTTTTCACACCTGATATTAAGCTTCTCCAGCGGTTCTTTCCGCAGATGTAATCAATCTGATTCCTATCGATTACCATCAGGTGAGACCCATGTGTACAACCTGGCTTTATGTCTCTTAAAAATGTGTTTACAATGTCATTGATTGTACAACATTCAATCATTATATCTCCAGCTCCGTTTCATGTTTTATATCTCCGTCTCCGAGTTCATGTTTTCCAGCTACTGATTCTTCTCTGTTGCCAACTTTCGCATTCCAGTCACCCGTTACTATCAGTGCACCTTGATTGCATGTTTGATCAATCTCTGACTGTAAAAGTTGGTAGAAATCTTCTGTTTCCTCTTCTTTGGCTCTGGTTGTTGGTGCATGTATCTGAATGATAGTGGTATTCACTGGACTTCCTTGTATGCGTATGGATATTATCCTGTCACTCACAATATTGTACTTCAAGACGGATCTAGAAATGGCTTTCTAACTATGAATGCAACACCATGTTCCCTCACCTTTCATTTCCGGAGTAATATATAATGATCATCTGACTCAAAATGCCCCACGCCAATCCATCTTATCTCACCAGTGCCTAGTATGTAAATATTATGCGTTTCATTTCTTCCCTAACAATATCTAATTTAAACAAAATCCACATTCATGGTTCTCACATTCCATGTTGCAATCACTAGTGTTTGCTTACAACTGTTCCTCTTCTTTTGTATTTCCATACTCGGTTGCCCTTTCTGTCATTCTACGTGTGTTCTGTTGTATATATAATAATATTAATGTGTATTATAGAAGACACATATGTATGTCCTTCATAGGGTCGCTATGTGTTGCCTGCGATTCGATGGCACTTAACAACAGCAACATGTAAGACATATAATAATTGATGTATTTTTTGCATTTTGAGACTGTAAAGATCAAGACTTTTACCAAAAACTTTGACTTTTTTTTCACATTCTGAGTTACAGTTATAGGTTCTTAGTTTGAAAGAGCTTCACATTCATTGAGCTGATCTCACTACATTATGCTTAGTTTGATGTGGCAACAATCCCTGACTAGTAGTCATTTAACATTTGCTTGATTAAGTATCCAGTGATAATATTTAGTATTAGTATTAGTGATCTACTGCCTCCTAAATAGCTTTGAAAGTTCTGACTTGGAAGAACATTCTTCCAATTTAGTTAACAAATGTTTATTAAAATGAGAACCTACTGTATATCAAAACATACTAGGTACTCTTTATATTCATACAGCATTGAGAAAAAGATAGATGAG